CAGTAGTCAAACATTTAAGAAGAGTAATAATGACAGTATTTACACCTCCTGAGACCCTGTGTCCTCATGTGTGGACATTAGATTTTGGGCTCCCTGCACTGTATACTTAATTCTGCTTTACTGAGACCTACTGTATACTCCTCCTTAGTGGACAGTTGCCAGTTACCAAAATACACTCATTCGTGGAAAAACAAGATGGCGTCAATATCAACAAATACCTTCTACAGTCGGAACAGACAGCAAAATGGAAAAGAAATAAAGAAATAAATCCTAATAAAATTTTATGGTTCAAACTTACTAACATGTGTTGTTTGACATGATAAAGATTTGACTTTTTTTTTTTTCAAAAGCAGGACTATATTGTGCTCTAAGTGCTATATACGTTAGCCTATGGCAGAGAAGAGCAAAGCAGTGAAGAGCAAAGCAGAGAAGAGCAAAGCAGAGAAGAGCAAAGCAATGCAGAGCTTTTCAAAAAGTACTTCCTGTTCAAAGTCAATGTTTAGTTTTTTATACCTTCCTACTTATCCCAAATAGCCAAGAGAAATTAAAAATGCACACAGAATCAAAGGTCTTAGGATGATACAAAAAAGATGCATGATAAATGCTCTGTATAGCGCCTTTCTAGTCTTTTTGAACACTCAAAGCGCTTTTACACTACATCTGCGGCGGAACAGCCGCCAGGGGCAATTTGGGGTTCAGTATTTTGCCCAAGGACACTTTGACATGCAGCCTGGGGGAACCAGGATTGAACTGCTGACCTTCCGATTAACAGCCAACCCGCTCCACCTCCTGAGCCACAGCCGCCACATCATGGACACACAGTTATCATCATGACCATTAGATATAAAGTAAGCAACACAAACCTTCTGTTTTCAGAATAGAAGGTATTATATTTAAAAAGACAATGACTGATTGAATGAAATTCTTATAATTATTAATAGTGCAACTTCTGGGAAGGTAAACCTCCACCTTAGTGTTGCAGGGATTCTAGGAAGACAGACTGCACTTTCTGTTGAGATCATTTTTAATACATGATCAGAATTAGTTTAGACTGACACCAGGAACACCACTGTTTTCCCCAGGTGGTTTGGTCTAAAGCGGAACTCAGCAATTTTCAAAGAGCCTGCTGAGGTCAAAAAACGTCAAAGAGATGGGTATATGTAGAGAAGTAGCTCCGTAAGAGGGAGGCATTTTGGATTTGTACATTGGGCACTTGACACCTGAGAGATATTAGACTTAAGTCATTTTGTAATTCACTGGGAAAACATACAGGTTTCACCTTTTGAGATTAAATATTGTATTGTTTAGTTTAGTTGTTGTATATGTTGTAGGTATGTTGTAATATTGTGTTTTGTAATTGTTTATTTTAAGTAGATTCTCTTGGAAATGTCAGTATCCACTAGGGTAAATATTGTATTTTATAAAATAATAATAAAAAAATAAAACAAAACAGAAGCATTGTCAGTTTCTACTTTTACAAATACAACCCCTCACACAATTTTGATGATTACTGGTAGAGTATTAAAGATTTAGTTGATATGTTTCAACTTGTTTATACACATATTTTACATACAGTAAATACACTCAAATGCTGTAGCAGATTTTTCTCTTTAAAGCTGGACATTTTTGGACAACAAAAACAATCTCCACTGACTCATCACTGTCTGAAGGCAGGCAGCAGAGTGGAAAGATTCTGAAAGGCCCTCCACTGTTCCTGTAAGGTTTATTTACAGGTCACAGATTCAGGCTTTAAAAACATTTTCATACCCACTACAAAAGCTCAGCTCAATACCAAAAATACTTCGCATCACATACAGGACCTGCACCTCACTTTCCTGGCAATATTTTATTGCATTTGGGCTTTAAAGGCACTTTATTATTAATTGCGTCTTTACTTTGTATCCACTATACTGGATCAAAAACAGCAGTAGGAAATTATTTTAGAAATAACTTTTGGTCCTATTTGCTAAAACTGTTACAAAATTCTCATAGTACATGAGACAGATAACACTGTAAAATAATTTTCCCCCCATTCCTGGGTAGTAAGTTTTATTTCTTAATTGCTTACCTCAAAAGTACAGAACATGGCTGTTCCCAACAAACTTTGCTTTAGCTCTGACAAATTGTCCACCAGTGGCTCCCATTTGGCATTCCTTCCCACAGAGAACCAAGGAAAAGAATGCTAAAGTAGTCGGACTACATTACAAAGTGATGATATCGTAGTTTTATAGCCATATAACACATATAACATAGTCCTAACACATTAGTAGTAATGTGCAATAGCTCCTATTTGAAACTTTCCCTTCTTGCCCTGTCTGACCTTACACAGTCAGAGAGCTACACAGCCGATTATCATTATCATCAACAGACGGAACACACCCGCAGGAGAACAGATCAGTGTCTGCATAAATCATCCTCATCAAGGCTATTCTGTATATTCTGATGTTGTGGGAGAGGTGGAGGGCAGAAGGTGTGGGTTGTGTAAACCCTGAAAGGAGCCACTGAATCTTTCATGATCATTTGATGTGTTCGATGTATGCGTTGCCTTTATGGCACTAAAACTACCACAGCGGCAGGAGAAAGTCTTAACAACTAGGTGTTACATAATAGCTCAAAGGGTCCATTCACTTTGGTCCATTAATTGGAAATATTTCCATTATGTTTCTACACTGATATGCTAAAAAGCTTTGCTTCAAAGACGTGTAATTAACATAGTCAACAGCTCCCAGCAAGGTACGAAGTGCTCCAGAAACTAGACATGAAAGCAGTTTGCCCACAGCCACTGCAACAGATGTTTCTTAGATCCCAACTTACAAAATATTTAAGAGTAAACGAATATGGTTCAAATGATATTGATGAAATTTACTTTATAGATAAACCTGAACACACATCTTAATGGCTCTAATAGACTTTGTCATGACTGGATAACATACCAGGCAAAGCAAGAAACTGTATGGGGCACCAGAACCAAAGGAGCCCTAAATAAACAGGTTGACTGTGTATTTGGTCTTTGGTATTTTAATTGTTAAGGAATTTGCACCACTAAAGTCCAATATCTGTTAAGGGACTGTGCAAAAATTATTGGAGAGGAGGGCTAAACCTTATGCCATGCTGGCAGCGTGGCTCTGGGGATGTCAGCCGGTTGTTTGGTCGGTCCACATCTTTGGGCCAGCCTGACAAGCACTGAATGGATTGACTAGAAATTTTGTGCCTACATTCATGGTCCCCAGATGATGAATCTTTCTAACTCTGGTGATCCCCTGATCGATTAGTAGGATATTAGATAACCAGCTACCTTCGCTACAAACATACACCAATAAAAGAAAGCCACCAAACACTTATTCAATCACTCCAAATAAATCGTATTGTATTCAAAGTCAAACAATAATCCACCATATGGTTAGTATACAAACACAAAATCTTACATTTCCCTTAAAGCAATAAAGAACTTTTCAAAATATATCATGCATATACCCAAAATTAACTGTCCACAATTCAAATGATAAAGAAAGCTGACAAGTCCTCCAACTTGAGGAGGAGGGGGTTGAGTGGTGTGTGTGGATGTGTGGGTGTTCAGATGTGTGTGTGTGTGTTTCGGGGGAAATCAGGCAGTTAAGTCCATTGAACTCAAAAGGTAGCAGTCCAGTTCAGTTCCTTGAGTTCTGGTGTGAGAGAGGCGAGTGTGTAGGTGTGTGGGGTTAGTCCAGTTTAACTGAGTTCCATTGAGAGGGGAATACGGGTGTAGGTGTGTGTGGATGTGTGTAGTTCAGTTGAAATGGGGCAGAAGGTAAAGTCCTGCCTATAGCTGGGCAGGAGGATAGAGTAGCCATGAGAGTTAAAAGGAGGAAGACTTCCACCAGGACAAGGAAGCTCCAGGCTGTAACCGAGCAGGTTGAAGAGCATGTTAACATGGTTGTCCCCACCCACTCCAGGGTTCAGCACAGTTTCCAACAGTCCTTTGTTGCTCTTTAAGTTCACAAAGTCTGGCCAGCTCTTGGTACCACTGCTTCTCCAGCACTTCTATATGCACTTTAATTTCACTCCAAGGCCAGGATGCCTCAAAACTGGATAAATTCAGCAAACTTTCTTATTCTCTCTAAACTTCCCACTCCTCTGTTCTCCTCCATGCATGAAATATTTGTCATTCCCCTTCAACCCAAAAGCAAGAGGCCCACTCTGACACTCTCCTACCCCTCTCTGCTACATACTGCATGTTCAGTGGTGAATAACAAATATTAGCACACTGATGAACATGGCAAACATCATCTGCATGTTAGCTTGGTCATTTTGTGCATGTTTTTCAGTGACCCTTTATCGGTCATGGCATGGCATTTTGGTGCTGCTTGGCTCCTGAATCACCCAAACGCAATAGATTATTCCTTCGTCTCTCAAGTACTCCACTCCCATTAAGATGCTCCTAAATGTTACACACTGGACCTTTAAGAGTTGTTGTTGTCTATTATCCAGCAGAGTCCAAAGCTGGAATACTTCCAGACATGATGGATGGAGTCTGGGTTAGAGCGGATAAGTGTTGGTTCTGGCCTCAGTGTTCAGCAGGTGTTCCCATGGCTGACCATAATGAGGCTAATTTGTGGAGCAGAAATAGCATTTGCTCATTAATACATCACTAATGTTCTTATTGGATAAAAGAACAGTAAGCATGTCACTATTTGGTTTGCCCCCACAGGTTCTTACCTATCAACTATGCAAAATAATGTAAATAATATTAATAATAACATTTATTTTTTTACAGTTGAAAATAAGTGCAACATCATTATAGTCTGATAATAACATCTCCTGGTCAGATTGTGACCACTAGTTGTAGGGGTCAAGGGGGGACCAATGGAGCTCCTGTGTTTAATTCTATTGAAGTGTGCAAACAGAGAAGCATTACATAAATCAACTCCAAAATGAGCTTTTTACAATGCTATTTATACACAGCTTTATTATTGATGTCAGATAACTGAACGAAGAAAGGCTCATAATAAATTACACAGATATTTATATGAAATAGAACTGAAACTTTATTTTTCAAAATGTATGTAAGCTGATTAAATGAAAAAGGTTCCATTAGTTTTTCATGATGAATGTGAAAACTGAAACAGCAACTTCTGAAAAGCAGATTTATCTTCATACAATCACTGAGCCTAAAAAGCATGTTGAATTTTCAGGCATCTCCATCTCTCTGTTGCGTTCACCTGTATTTGATTATTCTTTTTTTCACCGTTTTATCACTTGCATGTATGTGCAAGACAACTAAACCAGTATCTCTGAAGTTTGAGATCTAACTTACTGTTACAGAACTGTTTCCTTTAAAAAAAAGGCAGAATAAATTTAAGGACAGAAACCAAGTGTGGCTTTTATGAGAGTTGTTGTAGCTGCCTGAGAAATCACTGAGACCACACACAGACCAGAAAGTAGTAAATGCCGGCCAACGTAAAAGAATGTGGAGCTTTCAATCCTCCAGAAGGTGGCAGAATTACAAAAGAATGTGAGCAAAACAGAAAAGCTTAAATATTTACACACTCACTACCTTATTAAAATAACAACAAAACAGAACAAAGCAAAAAGAGATTTGGACATTAAATTCACATCACTGAAAACTAAAAAATGCAAAGTCATTATACTGAATAAATGTTTTCTTTGTTTCTGAAAATGCTGATATGTTGAAGGTTTTCAGCGTTAATCAAGAAAAATATAATTTTATGGAAATAATAAATAGCTTAAAATGAGAGCAACTTTATTTAATATGACTGCAAACTCGAACATGCATGCCTGACAATTCTTATGTCAACTTAAAATCTCTTAAACTCCTGATGTATTAGTCATGTATCTGTTATGTGAAACAATGACTGTTCTGCTTTCAAAACTGGTTTTGTGTCCCATCTTATAGGAAATGATATCCGGAGATCTGTTTGTTAGAGGGCAGACCATTCTTGCTCAGTCAAATGCAATTTCCTGTTGGAGAAGCGCTGAAACAGATTCCAGGCCTGCAGAATCAAAAGGGATGGGTGAGCAGATAGAAGAGGCCGAAAATACATCAACAGACTTGATCATCTGTATCGTCAGTTACAAACAAACCACACACAAAGAACAGGAAATGGGGATAAGACCTTTCAGTCAAGAAAGACGTGCTGCAAAAAAAAAAAAACAAAAAAAACAAAACAGACCATACTGTATATTCACTCCTACGAGTCAAACTTCATCTGTACACAAGTGTGTCAAAGTAAAGTGTCCAATGAGAAGTCAGGAAAATTTCCACTGCTCTCCAAAAACACATCTAGTATATCTGCACCACCTCAATTAAGACAAGTTCAGCCATGGTCATGTGTAGTCCTGTTCAGACATTGGCGAATAATCCCAGACACTCCGGTCCTGTTGCTGGATGACGGGAGACTCAGCTCGTGGTCAGATCAGATTTTGGTGGCGGCTCCAGACTCTCAGCAACTTCTCCCAACTCATCCAGCAACTCTGTGAACGCTGGCCGTCGGAAGGACTCCAGCTTAGATCAGAGGAGAAGAGAGTGGCTCTGTGAGGCTATGTCTACTTCTGGGGGCTTGACTTATTGATCAATATTTCATTGGTATCACTCAGTGGTGGCAGTAGTATTCAGATTTTTTACTTAAGTAAAAGTAGCAATACCACAATGTGAAAGTACTTCCCTGCATTCAAACTCTTACTTAAGAAATAAAAATTACTTTTACTATTTCAACTATTATTATATTGTTACTTTAATCAGTTGTTAACATTGTTGCATTCATGTCTAAGGAGGATTTTAATGTTGCAACTTGCCAATGCAGTGGTACTGTCAGTTGATATACACTTCATACACAGGTGGGTAGTTTAAACAATTACACTGTGTGAAATATACCCTGTGTCCTCCGGGGGACCCACAAATGAACACAAATGTATAGTCTCTAAGAAATATTTTGTTCCTTTTGATTTGTTTTATGTTTGCACTTTCCATAAAATCATTATTTGTGCATATAATGATGATATCTCTAGATGTTTCACTAGCAAGGACCACGGCACAACAATGTGTGATTTAGAGGTACATGCGAATATGGAATGCATGGATTATGGAGGATGGATTAATGCATGTAGAGGGGAATGGTGATGGTGGAAGAAGGAAGTCGTCTGATAGGCTGGTCTGAGAGGGTGTATGGGAGACCGGGCATAGAGACTCAGTGTGGGGGTTCTGTCTCAGAAGTGTTTTCGCCCAAGCTTATATCAAGCCCCCCAGACGGTACCTAGAACAGCTCCCGAACCTAAGTTAACAAATTAACTTCATATATGAACAATTAACTTAGAGTCCTAGGATGTTCCCTCCTGGAGATCATTCATTACAGGTTTTAGGAGTTTATCCCTGTAGGTCATTGGGTGCCTTATATATGATGCAGACAGGCCTGATATACAAAACCCCTCTTTGTTTCTAAGTGGTGAATCACACATTAGCATGATAAGCAGAATCGGATTATCCTCATTATTATTATGATTATAAAAGCTACTGTAATATGTAATTTACACTCAGACCTGGCTTTAACAAATTTGTGAGATGGAACACAGGATATATATTAACCAGATAAACATTAAACAATATCTGTATGGTTTTCTTTTAATGGAATGTGCAACAGCCACACATAAGTGGCCTTCATCTTAAGAGCTACTTGTCATGAGTAGTACACCTGAGATGTCTTCTGAGGTTCAGGAAGGAGCTTTCCCAAGTTTGAAAAAAAACCCTTATTAATCAGTTATCATTTTTCGGGTTTGAGACTCAAACTTTATACAACCTCACATTTAAAACTACAATTCTAAGCTAATGTATTCTCTAATGTCAAAATAGTGTTTTATGAAATTATAATGTACTCAAAATGTTTTGAGGCAATCCTAATGACAACACATAATGCTAATTCAATGAAATATTAAATGATCATGTAACACAGTGTAGGTAAAGAAACATTATGACTACTATTGACATGATTCACAAAAGAAATTGAACTTTTAATTCATGATTCATTTTGTAACCATGTTCTTGAATTACTACTGTATTTTTATATGTACACTCTTCCATCTACCTACCATACAGCAGCTGGCTGCCAACTCCAGGAGACGCTGAGGACAGCCAATCACCAGCTCCCTGAATGCATTCACATCCAGACCATAGTCCTGAAATATATTAACATCAACAGTCACTGCAGAATGGGCACACTATTATACACATTCACTACACTTACCAAAGACGTGTCATGTGCAACAAATCCATTTACTATAACTGGAACAATGAACGTTTATCTTTTTCACACCTTGGGATAACTTGATAACAACACATATTAACATAACATATGTTGCTATTCACATGCTGTTTGGAAGAGGAACACTAATTTGTGTTGGCTCATACATGATACATAAGATAGCGTTTCACTAACTGACTCACACTGACTCAGGTTTTTTTTAGGTCAATACTTTACATTAAAACTGCTAATGGCTGATACTTCATGCCAATATTGAATAATCATACATTTTACTTTATCCATGTCCTTAAATCAAGTAATAATCAAGCAATATGGGTTAAGTACTCTATGCTAAGCTTAGCATAATGGCTGGAAACAGCTAGCCCGGCTCACCCCAAAGCTCACTTGCTGTATTAACACATTGAACCTTGTTGCCTTAACCTGTGCACAAGCAAAATTGGTTGTAATGGCCGGCAAGTTGACTTTGAGTCTGTTCTCACTCCCCCTAAAACCACAAATAATAATTTTTACATTTTTGTGTGTGTACTGAATAGACCAACAAGATTCATGGTGTTAATACGAGACCTTTAGATGTCTTGTAGAGCATATATTTGAACTTTGGAATAAGCCTAGTGAACGACGTTTTGAGTATTCATAAGTATTTTATCATCAATCAAAAATGAAAATACTCATGGTTACAGCTTCTAAAATTTGACAATTTGCTTTTTTCCTCTATGCTATATGATTATTTAGGTTTTGAACTGTAGCAAGTACTTCACATCACCATGAGGTCTGGAGAACTGTGATGAGGAGTGTCTGACATTCTCTATGCAAAACAATTAATTTAATATAAACAGTGCAACCTTAGTGTCAGGTAAATATATTTCCAACCACCGATACGAAATCCATTTCAAGATTGTGCTTGTATATGATTGTTCTCCCTTTGGGAACAGCCTTATGTGACAATGGGTTTCTTATTGAGCTCTACCTGTGTTCTGGGTAGTATCTCTGGGTCTGCAGGGATCCTGGCCAGGATTTCACAGAGCACAATGCCAAAGGAGAATACATCCACCTGGAACAAGTAAAATGTGATGCAATCATTTCGGCTGATAGCAAACAAATCCCAAACGTATTAGTGTTTTTTAAAAGCAATAAACTGCCCAAAACTATACTTTTAAAAGAATAATATACCAGAGCATCAGACAGAGCTGACAAAATGTGTAAATTGATTAAATGAGCAACGACTTTCATAATCGATTAATCATTTTTGAAGCACCAAACATTACAAAGCTTCTGACTCGTGAGGGTTTTCTGCTTTTCTCTATCCTATGTGATAGTGAATTGATATTTTGGGTTTTGGTCAAAAAAAAAAAGCTCTGAGATACCACCTTGGGCTTTGTAAAACAGGTATTTTTCACAATTTCTTAACATCTTAAAGACCAAACCATTCATAGATAAATTAATGAAAATAATTATTATATTCTGAGACTGATACCTGCTTACATGACTATTTGAAAGCAATGCTGTATATGCATTTTATTTAAAATTACAATAGAAGTACATTTAGTATAGTAGTACAACTCTAACTCCCATGTTTTCAAAGTTTGCAACAAATTATGTGAGCTTAAATCCTTCTGTTTCCAGCTAAAAAGCACTATGTGTAGTAGAAACAGGAGTGTATATGGTATAAACAGCACTTTGTTACCTTGCGGTCATATGGCTCCCCTCTGAGCATCTCTGGGGCCATCCAAAAGGCTGAGCCCACTAGTGAGAGCTTCCTGCCAGGGTCTTTGACTGGCAGCTCCACCACTTCCCTGGCCAGGCCGAAGTCAGTCACCAGGGCCTCCCGACCCCGAGATGTCACCCGGATCAGGCAGTTCTTTGAGAAACAAACAGAATACAAGAATAAGAATAATAGTAACACAAGTTAATACAACTGCAATGTGATATTCTGCCAGCAGAGGGAAGTGTAACATTGATCTCCAAAGAAGCAGGCGGCGTCAACAGTTTCTTTTGTCTACTTTGTCTTTCATTTAAAAAAGTCTTGATCTTTGAATATGCTTCCATTGAGTAAGCATGTGTTCCCTGGAAAGAGAACATTCAGCTGCCAGACAAACAGTCTCTCTTAGTCTCTCCACTTATCAATAGACTCAATAAGATCTGTTGTCAGCACCTTTCCAGCTCACTAAATAATTCACCCCGGACCCCATGTGAAGAGACTCGGTACACAACAGACTCTGTGTGACTGCCTGTGTGGTGCTGTAGCAGATAGGCTCCATCACACTGACTGGATGATTTAATAAAAAGTGGAAAAAGACAAATCATTGTTCATTAATTTTAAAGGCTGGGAACTGGAGGTGTGATGAGAGGCAGACAGTGGGAGAGCTGTAGTTGCATAACAACAGTGGGTGGCATGAAGTGTGTGTATATGTAGTGTGTGTAATGAATGTGTGATGTTGATGCATGTGTACAAATCTGTATGTCTAAGGGGTGGGTTGGTGACTGTACAAAGCAAATGTGCCTGATAGAAAATGCAAATATGTATATGCAATTTGTGTGCTTGCATGTATATATCTAGTGAGTTTCCATTTCTGTTTGTAAGGGTCTGTGTGGGTGTGGGTGTGTGTATGACTGGATGTGTGTGAAATTGACGTCTCAGCATCTGGCTCCCATTGTGCCGGATGCTTTTTCCATCCAGTAGCCTGTCATTACGAGGCTCTCCTGGGAAAAACTTCAGTCCCAGACTTCACCTCTAAATTTAGCCCTGGCCCTCTCTTCCAAGGAAATCAACAGTTTAGGGAGCAAAAATGGAAAGCTTTAGTAGGTACAGAGGGGGAAAAAAGCATCTTGTAAGCACAAATTAAAAGGGATGTCAACTTTTCTGGGAGCCTAAACTCTGAGTCAAGTTAACTTGCAGAATTACTGAGGCGTATTCACAATGAGTGCATTGGTTGAGCGGGCTTTGGAATGTAATTTGCCTTTTGGACATCCTAAAACACTGGCGTCAGAAGCCTGACATTTCCAGCCAATTAACTGGATGACTTAATCCGAGTTAAACTTTCTACTCCCAGATATAATGTGTTAAACAGTGTTCTCCCATCGTTTAGGCTGGGATAAATCTGACTTGGTCTTTAAAATAAACAAAGTACAAACTTCTATTTTTATGATGAGAATTCTGTAAATGTAAATGGTTGTTTGCCCATTTGTAGCTAATGTTTGCATTCATGTACTTCATGTTGTCCAGGTGCATTAATTGCTTGTTTGAAACACATGACAACATTAGCATTTAAGTCCAACATTTAATCTCCTTTTAGCCTTGGCTCTTCACCTGCCAGTTGTTTGACTTTCTTTAACAACTATCCGCTAACTTTGTCTGCTGTTTGAACTGGACCTTCGTCTTTGCAGGAGGACCCTTTAACAAAGAGGCAGCCGGGATTCTTAAGCTTCGGAAAGAAGTTGAGGATGGAAGGCGAACAGTAACTGCTGGGAGGTTTCAGGGCTGACAGCAGCAGCTCAGCTTGTATTTCAGAGGTGCAGGCTTTGTCCGAAATAACTCACTACTCACATATAATCCACTATGCCATTTTGTAGTGCTGTCTGAATTTTTGCAATGTGTGCAGGAACTCAGGAGACCACTGCTGCAAAATGGAAGAGGTTCTCTCTCATGGATGAGGCAATGAGTTGCAGGGCATCTATTCAGCCTCCACACCTCATTGCCTCAGCCTGCAGGGAGAAGCCTTCCTTTTCCGAATCAGCATCCCTTGATTCATTGCCATATGAGCCAGAGAGTCAGGCTCCAGTGCCAGGGAGTTTATCAGGGTCAAAGGAGCCAGGGCCACCTTCAAAAAGGCAACAGCATGATGAACCGTTGGTATATAGATTTATCTAAAGGCATTGACGATAAAAAGTTGTGCTATCTGTGAGTTTTCGTCAAAGGGCCTGTCCGTGGCGTGGCATCACCATGAAACCGGAAGTTGTTGTAACTTCAGTGTACATGCTCAAATCTGTACCAAACTTTACAAGTATGATAACAGTCCAGCCCTGAACACAGCTGACCACCTCTGTCACCTGGCCCCAGTGCCTCTTCCACAGGCTCAAGTGTGTCTCCATCTCTGATGCAGACGTGCAAAATGGCACAACAAGCAATGACCTTCACTACAAATGCAGGGTGCACTTCCAGAGCCTTGAAAAATATTGATCGCCCCCTGGTCTTCATAATGCCAAATTCCCTTTCAACCACAGAATGGGCCTTTGCATGGTGCCTGTTGAACCTTACTGCATCTGCACTCTTTACTGGGTCCCTGTAAGGTGTTATGAATGTGATGGGTCATGACAAAGATCCCCACCATCCCAGAATACAATAGCCTTGCAGTGTCTACAGTCATTGAACATATAAGAGCTGTTTTTAAGAACTCTGGCATCATGGACTGAGCCACACTCCTTGCATTTGAACAGAATAAAACAATTTTCTGCTGAAGTACCACTGAGGATCTGTACTTCTGGGCTTGATTCTTACATGACAGCCATCAATACTGCCCACAACCCTGACGAATGGTGCTGATCCAGCTAAGTGTTCAAAGCTCTGTTCTGGAACCTCATTATTTTGTCTGCGACCCTGTGAAGGATATTATTTATGTGGAAATGTGGGATGTCAAACACTCTCAAGAAGTCGCACTTGCCAGCCGAAACAGGAACACTAGAACCTCTAGGTCATGACCCCAGCCATGGTCAAATGGAAAGTGCAGGATGTCAAAGAGATGGGCTACTGCAAGTCTGAAATCGCAGGTCACTTTGGCCATCAAAATATAAGGCCAAGGCAGGCACTTTGTGGTTAAGTGCCCAATACTGAGAGGGTTGTTCACACTGTAAATAAAGAGATTTAAACTGATAACACAGTGTCATTAAATTAAATATGTGAGAAGAAGCTATGTGACAATACAATCACACTCTGTTGTAAAAGTTTACTGTATGTGATGTGAAGTTTCCTCAGGAGGGCGGTGTAGTCTGACTTTGAGAGTGAATTCAGAAATTATGTGTGTATGCCGTAAAACTTAACATTAATAGCCCGGGCTTTTATTTGCTAAAATCACTGAATTGACCCTGTCTATATATGGGACAGGCCTTTAATTCCCTTTGCACAAAGCTGAAATAGGCTCCTATGAAACAGTTTATTTATTTCAAACAGTTACTTATAAAAATTATCCAATAATATCAAATACACGTCATTCATTTGATCTAGCTCCGACACACAGCTTAAGGCTCGTGTAGACTACACGACTTTCCGTCTTGTGACGGGAGTCTTGAAGTCGTTGTGGCGTTCACACTACGTGACTGATCGATGACAGGGGGTCACACACTATGCGAGCTGACAGCGGCTGTGTCACCCGACGCTGGTCTCAAAGCCACGTTTTGTCAACAAAACACATGTGAAATGTGAAACGGGAAATGACGCAAACCTACACACGAGAAAGCTGTTGTTTGTTATTAAGACAAAAACTATGGGAGAAAGAATCGATTAGCTACACTCTGTGCTACAGAGAGAGCTGGAGGTGAGTAAAAAGTGTTTTGCAGAGAAAAAGTAGCTGCCTGCTCTAATTGGCTGGATGTGGATGTCGAATCAGCCGACTCTTTCAGATATGTGGCATGCTAGATATCTTGAGTAGTTCACACATAGCGAATGGCGACCGCCGATCGATCACTGATTTACCCCTGATCGCAGCCCGACGGTCACCAAGCTCTGGCAAATCAGGCTTAAAATCGTGTAGTGTGAACTAGGCTTTATGCACTTTTATTTTGAAGGCAGCAACGAAAGGAAAACAACAGGGTGCAGGATGAGAAAAGTGTGGCAGAAGTTAGGTGACAGAGAGCGATGCACTTCACATGACAGGATTCACAACTTGTGCAGCATGTCCATACTGACATATTGATCATATGTTTAAACATTAATTTATGTATTAGCGATCTAAGCAACTAAAGCAGGTGACCCGGAGGTTTAAGGTTTAAGGTTTTATACATTGAAAGAACTTCTATAAAAAACAGACCAGGCGTTTAATAATTAATAACCTGCGTTTATTTGTCAAAATGTGTTTCCACACCAGGCCAGTTAACGGGATAGGCAGCTATTTGGGACTCGGCTATTAATTTAAGTTTTATGGTATATCTATTGTAAATATAAACATAAAGGTGAAGCATCATCTTCATCTTTTCACTTACGATTTGAGAGCAGCATGCCTCAGTTTACTCTGTCTTGCAATTCTGTTTCTCCTTCTAATCCGAAATATTTGAATGAGAACAAAGAAAAAATTATAATTATTGGGTGCCATTTCCACAAAGCTCTAAAAGCTGTTTTATATGTTTTATTATTATTATGGAGTATAGTTTGTTGTTCCTAGACAAATCCTAGAGTTGTGGCACAAAGATAATGTGTATAATTAATTCATTATCTAATAATAATATGATGAGAGCAGCATATTGCAACACAAATGGCCACAAAGGACATTGTATTTCTTAATTTGGGAAGATACGCTCAGTATAATATCATGTATTTATTTCAACAAGTTATTTATTATGGATGGTCCACCGGCTGGCGTTGATCTTGCATGTTTTAATTGTGCGACAGCAATGACGTAATTAACGGCACAGAGAGAATGACATGAGTTGTGTCTGAAAGTGTTGTTTTAAGTTTGCCAGTGAGCTCACTTTATAGTCCTCTACATAGGACTCCCTAGATAGGGAGTAGGGAGTAGTGATGATTGAATGATTTTTGGACACTTTGTAGTGTTGTGAGCCAGGACCCCAACATTAAGCCCTCAAGAAGCCTGAAATTAAGTTTTCTTTTAATCTGAATATTTTAGGATTTACCATCATCAAGTCAAAATT